CTGCTTTTTTCCTCAAACCATGAGAAAAGCTCTTCTCTGTATGTATCATTAGGTCAGATTTAGTGAACTGATTTTGATGTTTGAAGCTATAGCAAATGAAAACTAACAGGCTAATACAGTAACAACTACATTGAACTGTAGTGTTACCTACCTTTCTACCATACTCAGTAACAAAAGCCCTCAGCTGTCAGCAACTCTGGTCCAGTGTGATGCTTCCATTTGTGTTGTCCCCCTTCCACCCCCCCACCCCTCCCAAATCATACCAAATGTTACAATATTGTGTGGTCTGATAAGAAGCCTGTTCTTTGTTGCATGAATAGCTTACCATGTACTTCAGAGTAACACATTAAATCAACCTGGGCCTTAGAAGAGGCTCAGAACATTGGATCGATGTTGATAGTACTCATTTAAAAGAATAGATTTTAACTAGATTAGTCATCAGGGTAAATTTGTTAGTTCCATAATTTAAACTGTAATCATTTACAACCTAAAGAACACCACCCCTCTGCATTCTTCCTCCTGTGGAAGCAGGAGAATATGCTTTCATAGAGAAAACCTCAGAGCACACTCATACAGAAGCGAGGTTTTGCTCTCAGTATCTACTCAAAATTGAGGCTGCCTGCTGCCAGTGCCAAAGCCTCTTTTCCCCAACATCTCACAGCATTGTATATTGCCACAAAGAAGTAGTGCAATTTTAGAACAGCCATAATCTAATTCTTCACATTGAAGACCACAAAAAGCAGTACTGTTAATGTACATTTGACTAATTGTAGAATGGATAAACTGTACTCCAAGCAACTTAAATAGAATCACTTGATTAATCTGTTTCATTGTACTCTTCCACAAATAACACTTTAAGATTAAATCAGTCAACTGCAGTCACTGCAGGCACAGCTTTCCTCTTTGCTTTCAGTATTTTGTGTTGAAGTGGTAGGCATTCAATGTAAAACCATTCTTAATTAGGTATGAAAGTATTTGCTAACATATTCTTATTACAATACAACCTTCATTAGATTTTCCTTTAGAATAGATTTTTTTTTTCTTTACACTAAGAAGGTGAATATGAATATACAGAAGACCAAATACACCTGGTTTTAGCTTTGCTTTAACAATACAATTGCAACACTGGCAATGGAACAGACCAAGGACTTTCAGAAGTCAGCAGAACATCAAAAAACATTCAGTTGCATGTGTACTATAAATCCTCAACTCCTAACTAGTATAAACCAAAGATCTGAGATAACCTCTGTTCAGAGACAAGGGGACTCAGATACCACATGTTGTGTCCTCATCTATTCTCTCTACCCTTTTTTCCCCTATCATCTAAGCGTTTGTGTTCACCCTTATATAAAAGTATTCTCTTTTCCTGCTTGAAAAATAATGTACCACTTATTATCAAACAGTGGTTTTATGACTAAGCACAAAGGCCTCCCACCTTTAAAAACTGGGACAAACAATTTGATAGGCATGCAGAAGCTAAAAAATACAGAAGCCTAACTACTTGACAGATGTCTGAAGTCAAGAGGCAAGCACTACAGACAGTGTGTCAGACCTTCCTGTGCACCAATGCCTTTGATTTATCTGGATGTTATTTTTTTTTTATACAGGACTAACACAGCAAAAAAAGTCCACAATGCAAAGAACTGGGAAGCTACCAAGAGAAAAACAGTTAGTCCTTCCAAAATCAAGCTTCTCCTCTCAAGTGGAGGGATTGTAGTACTCCAAGCTGGTAGAGACTGAGAAGCTATGCTCTGGGCCAACTTCTCCCTGAGGCTTAGAAGCGTGACAGCAGAGGAATTTTTCACTACTGAAGTAACTTTCACATTAAGTCATACCACTGGGAAAAGCCTAGCCCGCAATATAAACTGGAATGCAGGTACATGTCATCCCCATGCTGCCGAGGTCATGCTTGCAATTCGGTCTTCAGACCATGAGAACAGCACTGCTCATGCTGTTACAGGTGGAAGTTGCTCACATATGGAAGCCTGACCATCGCTGGCAGTAGGCAAAGTGTTATGAAGCATTAGAACTTAAATAAATAAAAAAAAAAAATCTATTCCTGCTCCAACTTTGAGAACACAAACCTTCTAATAAGGTGTTTACACAGCCCGTGACACACCTGTACCTCAGTCCATGCACGTATCAAAGCCAGCTCATTGCCTAACATTCTACAGTCACCTTCAAACAGTGACAAAAACACTCATATCAAAGGTGGACAACAACCACTTCCTGTGTGAGCTCATGCTTAAAACTTCTGTGGAACAGCTCCTCTTTTTCTCCCACCCTGTCTTAACACCTACTGTAAAACAGAAGGGATGGCTTCAGAAGGATCAAATAGAGCAGTTAAAACCAAAGGAAATAGTAATTCCATGCTCTGGGCATTTGCATGGACAGGTTGGTTGAAGTTTTCCAAGCAACAAATTAGTCTAAAAACTTAGTAATTAAGGCATTCAGAGAAGACTATTCTAGTTTTCATGCTTCCTGTTCCCCCTCATTTACCACCCACTGTTTGTATAAGTCCCAAATACAGTAAGACTAAGACAACAACATTGAGGACAGAGCTATCGCCTTCATCTGATAACCCACACAGTCACAGCACACAAGTTTTGAACATAAAATGGAAGTTGTATTTCCAGGTTCAGCTACTTTTGAGGGCAGAAGCATATTGTGATACTCAGGCTGAATGGTGTCTACAGTCTGTGCTCAAAAGTAAATAGAGAAAAAACATCAGAAGTAGGGAATATTAGCAATAAATTAAAAAAACTTCCAAATGCTTTTTGTAAACATTGGGGGTTTTTTGCACAAATTTATTGCTGAGTGAATTGTAAACAATCTTGCATTTTTAGATGCTTACAGATGTTCACTAACAGTTATAAAAGCCATACTTGGGTAGCTGTTTGGAAAAACACTGAGGACATTCTCCCAGCTAATGAGTTCTTCGTGTTAGTCTTGTGGAATGTTAAAAAACACAACGTGTGCTCTGCAGTAACATAATTGAACAAGCAATCAATCTTTTCTTTCACAATTAAGGGAAACAAATTTAAAGGCTGACATGTTATTACAGGCTAAGCAAAGGTCTGGATCTTTTTTTTGACCAGCACATGATGTAGATGTCAGCAATATAGCCTGAATGATTTAGTGACCCACATCAGTCAAAAAAGTCTTAAAGTAATAAAATTTATGATTCAGGTCAACTTAAAGCACTTAAGTGAGCTGAATTGCTCTCAGCCCGATTGACTGAGATACCTACTAGCTGATCTGCCAAAATGCTCTCCTACCTACTGCATAGAGCGTGATGACCACCAAGCTGTCAGTATTCTGACACTTACATGCAAGAACCTGTGCTAAATTGCCTCCCATAATCCTGCTGTAACATATGCCAGCTGAAGTCACTAGTATTAAGGGACAGAAAATCATTAGCTATGCTTGTTAATTTAGATTTGTTTAAGAGTCTAAGGGTAGTATTTAGCAGGTACTTTACCCCCTTACCCAGTTACAGCTAACACACTCCTCCCTCCTTTTTATATCCTTGTTCTATAACAATTTTATCTATTTATCACTTGCCTGACAACAAGCTACCACAGAGCATCTCCTTGGCTAGCAATGCTTCAAAATAACTGACTGCATGAGCTATTGTTACAGACTCATTTAGAATTCACTAGCAAAGCTATGTGGGAACAACTTTACTATGTCAGAGCCAGGCTGCAATGGAAAAGAAAGCTATTTTATAGCAAGGACATGAACTTAAAGATTAAAACCTACCAGAAAAACCCTGACTTCTGAGAAGTTTTAAAATTTTGTCTACAGTTAAATGAAGCTTTAAAGCTGAAGTTTTGTTGCAAAATTTTACCTTGATGACAAGTTAATACACTACAAACAGGCTGATAATTCAGTGACTGAAGATATAGAACAGATAGGAAAAGCAAGTGACCACATGAACGCCAAATGTTGGCCAAACCTGCCAGTTGCCACTTTCCATATAAGAAATTAATAGAATAAACCATCACATGAAGATGAGTTGCAAGCAATAAAAAAAGCTAATAAGTCAAAATGGTTCCATTCCTTTGCATATAAAAGCAAGAGTCAAACAGTTGAACTCACATAGCCTTAATCATACAATCAGTTACAGAATGAACACTTCCGAATCCTTCTAAGCTACAGAAAGAACTGCAGTAGTTTAGCCGCATATCTAGGACTAACAAGAATATTCCCTAGGCTTTGGAAAACAAGCCTCTACACAGTTACAAACTCTATTTGCTTTTAACTTTTTAGCTATTCTTGATTTAAGGCACACATCACAGAAGATGCTACAGATTCTTCATACCTAAAACTGAATCCTGACAGGCATAGATATTTACCCTTACTTAATTCCAGAAATACAGAACTGTGAAGCAATGCTCTGTTTAACACATTGCTTTTTCATTTATTGAACAAAGTACAGCCTTTTACAAAAAGAGACAGTTACAATTAAGAACATTTTGCATACTTCTTTACAAATCAAGTTATTCTGTCAAACTTTTCATTGTAAAGCTCTGTACAGATAAAAACATCAACACAGAAAATTTGTAGTAAAGGTTATATCCAGTATTATAGACTGACTAGACCAGGTCTAATTTATGCCATAGTTCAATGAATTTTAAAAAAAGCAATATTTAGTTCTCCACTGCTGGATGGAGAAAGAGACAGAGGCCTAAAAACAGGATGAGTCAGTGAATATGTGTTAAAAACCATAAGGAATAATGTGACCTCCCCTTGCAGAAACACATTGAAATTAAGTCTGATCTGTGCTCAAATACTGAAACACTTGTCTCAAACTTGCACTAAAACTTTATTCCTCTCATTCCAAGAACTTAGAAGTAGTGGTGAAACCATGAAAATACAAAGCTAGAAGACACAGTTGAAGCTACTTAGCATGATGACAGCTTTCCATACAGGTTCAGTCCATGATAACTGCAAGTATCATGAATGTAAAGAGCTGAAACATTTGCATAAGAACTTACTGTGTAAGTGATAGCTGCCAGCATTCCAATCACTGTCAAGGAACTAATGGAAAATGAAAGAGCAGTCAAGCCATCTGCAAAAAAAATAAAAGCTTATTGAAAATTCTCACAGTAGAGGTATAAAACATTTCTTCCTGAATTGGGTTCCTGGAGATATTTAAATTCATTAGATTGAAGAAAAAAAATTGAGCCATAGTTACCAGCCATAACAACTTAGATAAAAAATTCCCCCAGCATAGCTTTTTGTCAGCAGGAGATGCAGGACAGCCATCTCTCCATTGCTACAAGTTGACAGATGTTGCATTCAGTCAAATGGTTGACTAGCCACTAATGAATTTGCTCCCATCGATATCTAATGACTCTTCAAGACTATTTCTGGCCTCCACAGGGTGCTGTGGTAATTTTCATGATTTACACATGCATTCTCGATGATTCATCTTTGTGTTGTTTGTTATCTCCTGATTTCTCATAATAAAGCGCTATCCAGAGAATGAGGCAAGCAAGAATCCTTCAAACAACCAAACAAGCCAGACTGTGGCCTTCAGCTTCACTCAGACCATGTACATACAGAAGTACAAACTTGAAAAAGGTCAGGGGACTAGGGAGTTACTGTCACCTTACCATCACTCTAGAAATGAAAAGGGATAGTAGAAGAAAAGCATTACCAAACTCATCACCCAAAGGCAAAAATCCCTGAATCCTCCTGCATGATTTTTCACAATAGCCCTGTCCTTAACCTCACTGTGTAGAACACAAAATAGCAAGACCTTTTTTCTTAAATAGTAGCATGGAAACGTATAGTAGCTATTATAGAAGCTAACTTTAAAGAATCAATTTCATGTTTGTACCCACTTATAATAACTGAGCTATTATTTAATGCTCTCTCCTCTCTCTAGTTAATTCTATAATCTAGAGCACAGTAACTTTTATTCCTACACAGATTTATTAGCCAGTTTCCACTCATTAGCTAGTTCCCATTCTTTTGCTGAACGTAGTGTCAAGCATTCACAAACTGAGAAAACCTATTATAGTTATCCTCAGAAACTGAACCTTTTTTCTGACCAACTCTACAGGTCTACCTTCCAAAACCATCAAAAAACAGTTCAACAACCACATCTAACTTTACAGCTCGAATCTTTCCTTTGCTATTTTTACTAGGTAACATCAAACAACTTCCCAAAGGTAACAGCATTATGTTCATAAATTTCAAATACTACAGCTATGTTTAAAACCAGAAAAGACTCCAGCACTATTCCCCCTTTAGTATTTGTGAAAATTTTAGCTGTGTTTTGAAGGTTAGGGGGAAATACCTCACACATAAATGACCTCTGTTTCTGATGTATCAGACAATGTACTTCACCATATTTGATGATCCTCCTGTACATAAATTTGAAAACAACATTTAATATCAGTTTTTAAAAGTTTGAACTATGTTCAATGGAACATTAAGAAACTAACTGGCTGAAAAATTGATAGTTGTATACCAGAAGTATATTATCAGGCTCTGCCTCAGCGAATGAATCTGCATTCCTTTCATAATCCCACTACAAACTGAATGCACACAGAACAAGTATCCAAAATTAAGATCTCTGCATTTCTTCAGTTAACTACAGACAGAAAAAGGAAAGGATAAGTAAATATAAAAAGAGGATAACAGGTAAAACTAAAGAGAACAGGTAAGAATTTTGTCCTTATTTCTCCAGCATCTGAAACATGAAAGAATCTTTTGCAACAATACTGACTGGGACTTGCTGGCTGTGGAGCAGCTCTACAAAAACCCTGTGGGGTCTTGGCAGACAGCAAGCTGAAGCTAAGCCAGCAGTGTGCCCTGGCAGGATGGAAGTCCAACAGCATCCCGGGCTGTATCAACCAGAGCATGCCCATCTATCAAAGGCAGGGACAACATAGGAAATGCTGCAACCAGTTTTGAGGCCCCTGCTACAGGCAAGCTAGATAACTGAGCATGTTAAGGGCAGAGTTAAGTTGGTCAGAGGTTGGAGCACATGCTGTGCAGAGAAGTTGAGAGCTTGTTCAGCCTGGAACAGACACAGCTTTGGAGAGGCCTAATACAGCCTGCCTGCTTATCAAAGAGGTGGAGCCCAGGCTCTCCAGTGGTATACAGTAGTTGAGTGCAAGACAGTGGGTGACAGTGTATACCCACACTTGATAAGAGGATAATTATTTTTTTTCCCCACCATGAAATGAAAAAATCTCCATCCCTGTGGGTTTTTCAGGTGCTAGCTGATAAAGCCCTGAGCAACCTGTTTTGACCTTAGAGCTTCCTCCTTTGTGTAGGAGATTGGACTAGATGACATAAGGTCTCTTCAGTCTGAACTATCCTATGAAATTAAAAGTCACAATAGAATGCTGGCAGAGTCAGAAATCAAACCCAGCCTTCCACATCCCAACCCACCATCTTAATGATTAAACCTTCCTTGAAATAAAGCATTAGACATACTATACTTTCATAGCAAGGACATGTACAGAGCTGAATATTTAATTGACAGCCATATCAAGGCAGCTTAGAAAAATTAGCTTACATCTCAGCTCAACCACTGTCACTACCTGTATAAACAGTTTAAGAAGCATTTTATTCTATGCTGTAAGTTAGAATCTTTGTGAAATAAGAGAAACAAACAAGTTGGCAGCCAAAATTATGAAAAAAAAAAAATACGGTCTTGTCCTCTCTATCTCCTATGCTTGCAAGCACAGCTTACAGCACAGCGTGTATCATAATAAAAGACTGCAAGACTGTCAAAGGCGACAAGAAGGGCTTCAAGTACATAAGTGGCAGGAGGAAGACAAGGGAAAACGTGGGCCTGCTGCTGAGTGGGGCAGGGGCCCTGATGACACTGGCCATGCAAAAGGCTGAGGTACTGAATGCCTTCTTTGCCTCAGTCTTTACTAGCAAGACCAGACTTCAGGAAAGCCAGGCCCAAGACATCAGGGTGAAAGGCAGGAAGGAAGACATATCCTTCATGGAAGAAGATCAGGTTAGAAAATACTTAGGCAAACCAGATAAAGTTGATGGGCTCTGAAGGGACGCACCAAGTGCTGACAGAGGCGGCAATTATCATTGCAGGGAACTTTTAGTCAGTACAAAATGCCTAGAATAATGCAGAATACAGCTTGACCAAGGGTCATAGCATTATATTCTAAAACATTCAGACAGATGACAATACTCTGATACATACCAAGAATGAGGCACAAATGTTAGAGTACTTACGCATTTGGATTAATGTTTGTTAGATGACTTTTAGTTACCATTTTTCCAGATACATCTGGAAAGTGCTATCAAGTCTGTCTTGGCTCACCTATAAAACACTTTCTTCACACCTTTGCTCTGAAAACACACCCTGGCTAAATCATGAACTGCATAAGCTAAAGGTTAAATAAAATGTCATGGAGTTTGGCCTTCACAATAGTTCTTTATAGCTCTAGCATAAAGAAGTAAAACACATGCTAACAAAAAAAAATTAGAAAAGGTAAATACTAGGAGAACAAAGGGAAAAATTGTAACCCTCATAGGATTTTTCTGTCTAAATAGACAAAGCTACTTATAAAATAGTCTCATTCTTGCAGTGAACAGGAGTATCACACTGAATTAGGTAAGGATTCAAAAACTGTCATACAGGATACACACTCACCATACTGAAGTTCACCGATTTTAAGGAATTGAAGTAACATTTAAAAGCTGTGTTAAGTGAAGGCTCCATGGAAGAAAGTACATTCCACTCCACCATTAATACCATAAGACACATCATTGGAGTCCTTACTCTCAAATGAGGACTGTACTGAAAGCAGACACTGCCAGTGTCTCCTCTCTATACTTTAAAAATGGTTCTGATTTTCTTTCGTCTGAACAGAAAGAGAACAATCTTATTGCACAGATTTAGTATAGTTGAGTAGTTACATTCAAGTTAGAAAGATGTCACCAAGAAAGTTAGTAGTCTCGTTCGGTCAATGAAGAGTATGCCAAAATAAGTTAGCGACAAGTTATGCAAAGCTCAGAACAAATCTCAAACTTACGACTACTTCCAAATTCTTCAAACAGGAGCTTCACTTTCTCCCACTCTGTGGAATTCTTCTTGTTGGGAATATCCAAAGGAACAAAAGCACTATAATAAAGCAAAAAAGTAATCTCACTCACCCCATTTAGTCAAATATCAAAGTCATATTACTTCCAAGTTAAAACATAGAAATCCATTTATTCCTGAAGAAAAATTTTACATTAGATTTAAAAAATTGTGAAGGCAATCTTTCATTTTATTCACATTCCCCTCAAATGCTGTATTCAGCTTAGCAGAATAGGTGTGAGTGTGTGTACAGTCAGGTCTGAAGTCAATGAACAAGTGATTTTCTATCTACCAGTCCTAACAGAGGTAAGGACCCTACAATCAAGCGTCATTAAAAGATGTATTAATCTATCCCGGTTTGACTCATGTGCAGAGGAGCAAAAAGACTTTAGGATCGAGACAAATTCTCGTATAAGTCCACACTTCTGGAAACTAGAATAAAACAATTAACAATTCCCACACCAAGCATTAAACTTTAAAGAGACATGTTTATCTTCCATTGTTACAACACATCTTCTGCATTCCATTCCTTGTTCTGTAGTTGGTCCAGAGAACTGAACTACAGAGAAGTTAAATATTTTTGATCTTCCAATAGGCACAGACTAGCAAAGAGTGCTCATAAGAATGTCAGGTATAACAGGCACCTAGCTGAAAACTTCCTGCTGTCAGTCTCCCCATCTAAGGGCCAATAAAAAGAGTAACTCTTCAGCATCTCCACAGACAAAACAGCTAGTTTTGTAACAGCTGGAAAACCAGTACCTCCACAGCAATCTGAAACCATAGCTTCCAGACATAAAACAGAATGCCTACAAGTAACAAGGAAGTCAGACTTGGAGGGCAACTTTAGATGAAGAATGTGAGAACCCAAACCAACCTCCATAAACAATGGTCACAAGTACCTTTTGGGCTTTTGTGAGAAAGTACATAATTAGGATATTTATAACTTGCTTGCCTTCCCCCCTCCTCCAAGAGCAATAGGGTAAATTTTTGTTGAGTTTACCTACAACCAGCATGTAACGAATCAGAGCAGAAGCCACAGTACCCATTATACACACTTTTCAATTAGTACTCAGCTAAATCTTGACTGAAGGAGATGGACATCTGATTCTGCTCCTGCTCAAGTACCATGCACCAAGGGCCTCAGAAAGGAATGCAGGAGCTATGAATTCACACATTTGAGTCCCAAGCAAGTAGGAATCTTACTTCGCCTCCTAAACAGGGTCCATCAACTAGTAGCAAACTAGCCAGAAGGCTAGCTAGCCCCCTTGAACAGACTTTTGATCTCTAGCTTAACAGGCCACAGGAAGAATGAGACAAGTTAAGATGCCTACCCATGCATGGACATACAGCCAGTCCACACTCCCAAAGGATCTCTAAAACAGAGCCCATCTATTGCACCAGTACACAGCAGTTTAGGCCTATTCTTCACACACAACTAAGGAAGAAGAAATTTGACAAAAGTCTTGGCTATTTTGCTGTGTTGACTAAATGGTTAACGCAGCCTGAGGGCCATAGTAGCCATCAACAGAATGAGAAGTTTCCATGCTAAATGACTCCATTCACCTATCGTCACTGTGATGCAATACAAGTCAGTCCACTGACAGCGAGTGAACAGAGCACAAGTGCCAGTACGTGGTTTCACCAGTGTAGCTGAGAATTCAGTTAATGCAAGCAAACAGAGCAGCTCAGACGTGATGTCTTACACTTGGACTTCCAGACAAATGAAGTTATTAACTGCAGTAATTTTAAGAACAGAAGCAAACCACTGTGCTGTTTAAAACATATTCTGGGAATATCATGATTAAGATCTAGATCAGTATCTTGGCTGCAGAATAAGGAAAGTAAATGCAAGACAAGCAGTTTAAAATTACTAACTTTTGGCAGGGCTAATAACACACAGGTGTAGATAGGTCAAGTTTGATCCTTAAATCAGAATGTCTTTAACTACCATCCTTAGGAACACACATCCTTCTAACACACTAGATTTAAACTCATTTCCTTAAAGTCAGTTCTGCTATAATATAATTTGCATAATTATTTATAGAGTATTTAGACATATATACATAGCTTTTTAAAAGCTAATGGTTCTAGCAAATTCAAGGTAACATTGAATATTCATATAAAGTTTAATCCCGAACACTGACAGGAAAACATTCCTTTTAGAGCAAAGCATTCATTAGCCTCCAAAGCAACTATTTTAGTTCAAACTAGACTGCTGTATAAGGGTGCCTTAACATAGATTATAGTGCTGGACCCAAGGGGCTTGAGATACATGATGTTTAGAGTAAATAAACTGTATTCAAGGAAAGCAGGTAATTTCTGAGAAGGGAAAGGCATCACAAGTCAGTATTAGTTCCAAGAATCCCAGTATAAATTTGTTCTATACTTCACTTTAAATGATACTCTGCATCAAGTTATTTGTGTGCAGAGCATTTAAGTGCTATTGCAGACACGCACATTTTTGCCACAGCAAGGCTTTAACAGACAGCTAGAATAAGAGGTATAAATAGTATTCCTGCTAACAATTTAGACAATGGAATCCTGCTCATTGAGCTCTGCTATTACCTTAGAAAAAACCTCCAAGATCATCTGGCATAAAACATCTGTTTCCCAAAACATTCAAATAGATCTCTAACAGAGCAAGGTAAACATCCAAGTAAATAAGATATTCTTAAGCTTCAAGCTTAATCCAGATTTTATGGTTTCTTTGAGGACTGCAGACCAGGAAAGAGGTAGGGACTTCTTGTGTAGACCTATCTTTAAAGGAACCAAGCTATTTATTGACCTGTTTAAATTATACAGACTACTTGCTAAATCAATCAGAACAGAGGTTGTCTTGATTTGAGATACTAGTCATGTTAGCACATAAAAATGACAGACTATTTGCCTGGAACTTAACAGGAAATAATCCAATCCCTCTTTCTCTTGTAACTTGTGTGCATGACTATTTAGCCCATTAAGCCTGGCCTCCTAAAATTAAATCCAGTACATAAAATTCCAGTCTGTTTTAATGTTGGTCTGATCCTGACCACTCGTGAGAAGAGCTCCTCCTACTGCCAGGCATACGCAGTACTGCAAGACGTACTGCAAGACTGGTCTTCACTACCACATTCAGTTGAGCCCTTCATGTAGAGTCTTCAGCTCCAACACTGTTTTATCTCCTTCCAATCACACTGGGACTGATGAGGTTGCCGTTTGCCCTTGCAATGCAGACAGCTGACTAAGACAAATAACTTCTCTAACAAGCATGTACATATAAACATTCAGACACCCACCTTTTTTAATACATACATAAAAATGTAACTATACTAGAACCAAAGTTCACATTTTTCTTCAGCAGTTACCTCATTTGCTTCCCTCAACTGAGCTGTTCAGTCTTGTACTTTCCCTTAAAGGGACAGACAAGAATTACATTCTTCTGCAGCATCATCTTAAGTAACAAGGGTGCTTTTCCACTCCAAGGGCATTAGGACAATGCTGCTATTTAATTGCCATCATCTTAAAAGAAAGCAAGCAACCTCATACATATAATGGCAGAAAAATTGTTCTGATTAGCACCTGGAAATATTAAAATCCCCGTCAATATTTAAAGGAGTCTTGCCTCCCCGCAGCTGGTGCTCCTGCTATTTAGATCAGTGGGTTTCAAATCTGTACCTATGGAAAAGCACCGTTCAGTAACTTACTTAGTCTCAGCCCAAGTACTACAGCTGTCTGCTTTGCAAGTCAGTCTCACTGTTCTATGGCAGAGTATCAGAGGGGATCATGGAAGCTGCTATAATTTACAAGTTGTGAAGACTTTAAAGAGAAAACCTAAGAACCCAAAGGACAATTAGAAAGTCAAGAACCAAGTTCCATCTTCCTGGAAGAGAGGGACAAACATGCTTACAGTGACTGTTGATTCAGCTGACAGCTACTAGAGACACTGCAGAACTTTCTAAACTGGATATATGATACAGTATATGTACGTATGCCTATTATGTGAGCGAACAGTCAGAGAAACAGCTTTTGTCAGAAGCTTTAGTATATTTTTAGACCATGATTAGGCTAACTCAAACTCCTTTAGTCTCTCATAGTAGCAAACATGTTACTTCTAATTGAAAGGACAATAGACTTCTTAGAAATAGACCTTAAGTGTTTATCAAAACTAGAAACAATATTCCAATAAGGTGATATACAATTAAAATCATGAATTTCACACTAGTTTCACTTTGCACTCCAGTACTTTGATATCATTTTAGCATACATTTTGTAAAATTTATCAACTTTACTGCTGCAGTCAAAATGCTAAAAAGCTTATGGCACAGCATACACTAGAAACATTCAATATTGGTGTGCATGTCATGCTTAATAGCGATCTTAAATTGAATTGATAATACTGCTTGGAGTTTCAGAGTAATTCAGAGTAATAGCACTTGTGGCAAACAAGTTGCCCACTTCACTGATGTCTGCCTTTCAAACAAATACCAGCAAAACCTTTATCATACAAGGCACAAGTATAACCCCACACTATACTTATGTCCTTAACAGAACATTTCCATTTAGGAAAGTACTAAGCATGTAACACCTACTTGTATTCCTAAAAGCTGTTCTGGGATGTCCATGAAAGCATTTTATAGAGGCAGAAAACAGGAAGAGCACAAATATTTCACTCCCTGTTGTACACAGAGATATCAATACAGTTGTAAACAAGCATCAGAGCCATCATGTCCTTAATGGACATTCACGCTGCACATACAGAACTTGAAACACACGTACCTCCACAGTTAAGAAAACCATTCTAACTTCTAATTAAACTAACTTTTCAAGTACCTAATTCTCAGGATATTTAAGACCTATTAGAGATTAAGCTAGATATTCTTTACACAGATTGAGTGCACCATAATCCACCTTTTTAATCTTGCACAGAACAAAGTTCTGTTTGGAGTCTATTTAGTATAACCTGTATTATGTACATACTATGTTCAATACATAAATACTTACCCAATTAAGAGAAGAACTGCACAAATTGTGACGAATCCCAGAGTATATTTGAGTGCAGTTTTAACCTGCTGTATATTAAAGAGAAAGTTAATATATTAACATAAAATAAATTCAAAGGGATTTGTCCAACAAGTTATGGCAAAGCATACTTAGCGTAACAGGTGTTCTACAAAAGAACATCCACAGAAAACATGGGTAATTTTAGATACAAGTCAGAAGTATACATTCTTGAAGAGTCTTATGGCTTGAGAACTATGAACAATGACAATGAATTATGCTTCCATCAAACTATGCACCTGAGCACCTGTGGCCAGAAGACAGGGTTCATTTGTTCTGTGCAAATACACTCAAAGAAAATTTTTATTACCAATGCTTTATATAATGGCTATGCTTAGAAGTCTTTTTTCCCCTCTGTTCAGTTGTAACCTTAACATGAGAAAGTGCTTATGATCAACAATTAGAAGATTCTTTAAGAAAAGTATTTTCATTTGAGAAGATAGAACCTTACTGGCATGCATTTATTGTATTCCCTGGAATGTTGTACTTGTCAAAAATATTTGGTACATTACAAAAATAACCAAGTGCTAGCTTCAGGTAAATTACTACTGCCCACTTCAAGAAAAAAAAAATGCAACTTCTACAAGAAGGAAGGTACTCAATTTTAGTTTCTATCTTAGAATCAGTATAATTTTCCCATCTTTAAAACCTGTTCAGACGTGTTTTCTATTCTAAGGAAAATCTCACTTAAGAAGTTTTAACTTCCTAGATATGAAATCAGGTTCAACAGAATTTGTACAAAGCTTAAAGAATTCATGGCAATACAGATTTTAATTACTTATCTCACTTTTATCTCACTAAAGTTTCATTTCATGTGAGACCACAGTGCTTAGAGTAAACTACGTCAGACTAAGTGTTAAGAGCTGCCTCAGTATTTTAAAGGAATTGTAGTAATAGACTTAGAAATACTATCATCAACATTGTATTCAAGTCAGACAATCATTCTTGCCTGAGTTCATTTGTCTTTTCACTGCTTGGTGCATTTGCTAGAGTGAACTTACTGAGCATGTGTTGCCATCATCATCTTCTTTCTCCTCATAATAGAAATAGACAAAGGGAATCCACAGAAAGACGCAGAACAGTATGATGGAGTACAAAGCTAGGAGAAAGAATTTAATTAAGTGAAGAGACATTGGCACTTCATTTACTGCACAGTAATTCAAAGGAAAAAAAATCAAATATTAATTTCCTCTTCTTCTAGCTCTTACTAATTTCAAGTATTGAAAAGTTTCGTAGAATTTACTAGCCAGCGTATGAACTATTACTGTTTTGTGAACCCCAGAGGACTTGTAGAATTAACCCTTCCAGACTAAGGATTTCAGATTCACCTTCAATTCAGCAATGATAAAAACACTAAAAGCAGTCATGTCCATGCAAGTGATATACAGGACTAACACGGGGAAGAGGTAGCATAGAGGAGAGCAAATAAAAGCAAACTATGCCACCTATTAAGAAAAGTTGTTCACAGAAGAAGTATATACAAAAAATATAACAAATTTTAAACTGTTTTAATGACTGGACTCCATTTCAGCGGATGTTCTACTATTAATGTAAGTACATTGTAGATGGAAGGCATGGTTCTATTATTGATGACTAGAAGTCACAAAATAGAAAAGTGTATTATCATCACGTACCATCCCTTTTTCAAAGGGAGGACTAATTGGCGATTGCAACAGCCAGTTATCTGAGTAGCCACTAAAGTGAAACAGTCACACTGTCATATTACCTTGATACATACATGATCTTCAGAGACTTTAAACCAGTTAGTTTAACACAAGCGAAGAGTTAAACTAACATAAAATTTTCAATATTTGTGAAGACTTATAAGTTTAATCTTCACCTCTCTGCATTATAAGAGATTACATCCTCTTAAGGACATTTAGTAAAATCCTTCAATACTTCAAAATATCTTATACCATGAACCTTTCAGAAGTCTATTAGGAAACTAAAACCAGTCAAGAAGTATGTTACAGCATTTGCACCCCACAAGAAAGGTATCCTAGATGAGTTAACCAAGCCCTCAAAACAAAATGTTAGAAGTACCACACAACCAAGACTGCTTGTACAAGCACAAAATCACCCCTTTGAGTGCATAAGTAAAGATACCCAGGACCACACAAATCCTGTGATCTTCGGCTATTTTCAATCTTTATCTCATTTTGCATAACTAATTTGTGCCTTCCCACCACTAACCAATATAATCATCCCTAACTTAAGTTTATGGCCTCTTATCTTGGCTAGTGCACCCCTTACAGTATCCACGTGCTTCATAGAAATCTACCTCAGCATTTTTACTGAAGGTGGTATAGAAGCCAAATAAAGTATCAACACCTAGAACCTAAATATGAATGAGGAATTATTTCTAAACAGAATTCATCCTTTTGAAAAATATTTCCAGGCATTAGAGGTATCTGCTGTTCAGAGCACTGAGTTAGTATGGCAGTGTAACAAACAGTACAAGTTCTTGGTTAGTTTATAAAAACTTCCTCACATTTGCCAAGAGCATAAAATTCAGGGCTCTAACACACCTTAAAACTTCAAACTCTCAAATGCAGCATTCTTAGACCTTCTAGAGCAGTGCTCAAACTGCTTCAGTATTGTGAATGTTTTCAGAAATCAAGACTCTAATCTAACTTTTAGATTAGTCCTAAATGCACACTACAGTGTGCCAGCAAATAAGGCAAGTTACATGCATCATTAATCAAAGATCACAATAAGCAGCCCATAGAGGTCACTACAAGCACAGAAAACATTCGCACTTCCAAACTTTACTATATTAACTTCAGCATACCTTACTTACGAGGTATACTCATAGCTCATTAGATAACGGCACTGATCCACATTTCTTCCAAGGGGATAAACGAAGAGAGACTCAAATCCAAGAAAATATCTATGACCTGTGTGAAGCAAGGCTACCATTTACCACTACACCAAACACTGGTCCTGTCTAAATGCTGTTGCTGCAGTAACTTAATACAATTTTAAGAGAACAGCTCAGGCTTCTGACACTAAACTTAGGGGTTTTTTTTACTATAAATGGTGGGTGTTCAGTTACTGAATACATAGCTAATCTATATCTTGAATTTGTTTTACATAGTATGTCTTATCATTTTATTATAAAAGCATAAATCCTATACTTTCTGAAAACTGTTCCCTGACGCTTTCCTGTAATCCTTCATACTAATGTCCAGTTTTCCAAGTTTCTCTGATCTGCTGTGGTGTATTAGCAGAGGACAATTCTCAATGGCTACTGACAATCAGCTACACTTAATTGAACTGTTTTTGTTGAATGGTCTTATTTAATACTTGATTGAGGCTGTTGAATTGATGTATAACTTGTCCAGCCTTCACCAGGTTTTGAAAAACCATTCATAGCACAAGCACCTGAGCAGCACACAATAAGTCAAGGAAGCAGTTTTCAATTACTGAATACTTTGTTCAGTTTGGGGTCCCTCACTACAAGAAAGACACTGAGGTGCTGAAGCATGTCCACAGAAGGGCAATTAAGCTGGTGAGGGGTCTTCAGAGTAAGTCTTATGAGGAACAGCTGAGGAACTTGGGGTTGTTTAGTCTGAAGAAAAGGAGGCTGAGGGGAGACCTTATCACTCTCTACAACTGCCTGACAGGAGGTTGTAGAGAGGTGGGTGTTGGTCTCGTCTCAAGTTACAACCAACAGGACAGGAGAAAATGGCATTGAGTTGCACCAGGGGACATTTAGGTTAGACATTAGGAAAAACTTCCACACTGAAAGGGTTATCGAAGACTGGAAGAGGCTGCCCAGGGAAGTGGTTGAATTGCCATCCTTGGATGTACTTAAATTAAAAGCTATCTAGATATGGTGCTCAGGGACATGGTTCAGACGTGGGCCTGGTAAAGTCAGATAACTGTTGGACTTGATGATCTTAAAGGTCTCTTCCAGCCATAACGATTCTATGATTCTACAATCAGATCCAACTTCCACTGCAAAGGCAGACAGAAAAATGACCACACTAGTTACCCAAACCCACCATTTTCATAATACATTGCATATGTGAAGTTCATGTAAAACCAGATCAAAGACACATCAAAACAATGTAGTTTCATTCACTAAGAATTAACATCCATTGAACTAGGCATTTTTACCAATAGCTCTATTCCAATTTTTTCAAACTCATTCCCATTTCCACATGAATGGCTCACAGGAAAACAATGTTTAGGATAGTGGTTGCATTCTGGAATATTTAAATCAAGGTTAGATGCAAGTCTAAGTAGCTTTAAATAGAATAGTGCATAAAGCTCTTGACATCCTCCCTAAGTTTCATGCTTTTGAAAGTTAACATCTATAAGCTTCTCTTCATTGTCAGCATAAACAAAGTAAATGACTATCCAGGTTAGCCTTACCAAAAGGATAAATAATTGGACTTTCCTTGAAGTCATAGTTAACTCAATCCAATCTCCAAGTTCTTGCCGGTGTTCTCAAATCCCCAAGTTCTCGCCAGGAATTTATCAAATTAAG